GATCGCGCCGCCTCCGTTACTCCGTTCACGACAATTTGAATGTCCCTCGGCGTCACGCGCTTCCCCATGCTGCGTCGTAGAGCAATTTTCCGTCGTCGGTGTCGTCGTCGTGGTCACCGTCGCCGTCGTCGTGGCCGCCGCCGCCACCGTCGTTTACGTCTTCGTCGTGGTGGTCGTCGTCGTCGTGGTCGTCATGGTCCAGGTTGTCGTCGTCGTCGCCGTCGTCGTCGTCACCGTCGTCGTCGTCACCGTCGTCGTCGTCATCGTCGTCGTCGCCTTCGTCGTCGTCGTCGTCGTCGTGGTCGTCGTCGTCGTCGCGGCCGCCGTCCGTCGCCCACCAACAGTCGTCGTCAATCGTCGTCCTTCCCCGCCCATCCCCTCTTCCTCCCGCCCGCCTTTCGCTGAGTAACGCAATTCGCGCGGGGCCCCTTGAGCCACGGGCCCCCCCCCAGGGTTGACTGAAAAAACTGCACCGCGTGTAAGCGCGGAATTTGCTCTACGTTGGTCCTCGGGATCGCGGCGGCCGCGGTCGCCACGGTCATCGTGGCCGTCGTCGCCGTCGTCGTCATCGTCGCCGCCGCCGTCGCGGTCGTCGTCGCCGTCGGCGACGTCGTCGTCTCCGTCGGCGACGTCGTCGTCTCCGTCATCGTCGTCGTCGTCGTCGTCGTCGTCGTCGTATTCGCCGGCGTCGTCGGCGTCGTCGGCGTAGTCCGTCGCCCGCCCGTCGCCCGTCGAGAGCAGCTGTCGCCGTTCCCCGCCCAACGCGCTCCGCCCAATTGTTGCCGCAGCTTCCCTGCTGCTCAGCAGGATCCGCGCGGGGTCCCAGGAGCTCAGGAGCTCCAAGAGTAGCCTCGCATCCTTCACTGCACGGAACTCCCATGTGTGCATATCATACCCCTGTCGTTTCTCGCTGAGACACTCTGTCTGTGAGCACGTGTGAGGAACTACGTGTATACCACATGTGTTTTTGTTCCACAGGCCAGGCTGCAGAGCCTGCGAGACCGGCAAAAACCTCACGCGCGCCATTGGCGAACGATCCATAGCTACGTGCACACATCAGATGAATGATATTGTCAATTGTTGTATGGTGGGCAATTCCTGGGGAAAAGGACGACGAGGGAGGAGGATGAAGAAAGAACGAATAAGAGGACTGCGTAACAACGAGGGGCGAGGGAGGACGATGAAGAGGCGCGTGCTGCCGCGCGCGGAGGCCAAAGCGCGAACGCGAGTGGCCTCACGGCGTCCTGCGGTGGCCCACAAGCCTTCTCGCACGCAACAAGGGGCATCCAAAAACTGTACCTGGGAACGCCCTGGCTTTCGTCCAAAAACTGGCCCTGGAGGCCCTGGGGTTTCATCCAGAAGCCTCCCTTTGGTGGGGGCGGGATTCATCCAAAAACTTGCCCCTGGAGGCCGCGGCAACGTCCACCAACAAGAAAGCAACGACAAATCATCCAAACACCTATCCTAAAACCTCACACAATTTCAAATCCTAAATCTCATCCGCTTTTTGTTACATCTGATTTCGCACAAGGACAAACATTGAATGAGTTTTTCGATTTCCTTTCCCGGCGACGTTCCCGGGTGGTCCGTGGGCATGGGCCCGCGCGCGCTTCCTCCGGCGGCCTCCCTCGGACCCCCGCCAGCCCTCCGTGGCGACCGCGCAGACACAGAGGACACCGTCAGAACCACTGACAGGCTGCCCAACGGTGGGCCGCCTTGTGCAGTGCCCTGAGGGTTCTGGGGCCTCCTGAAGCCCCATGAGGTTTCTTAGAGCCTCCGGGGGGGGGTCCTCGGGTTTCCCGGGGCCTTTCTGGGCCTCCTGGCGACCCCAATGGCTTCGTCAAGGTTTCTGAAGCCCCCCGGTGTTTTTAGAAAGACCCGGGTGGCACCGCAGTCCAAAGCGGGCGAAACGTCTGTCGGAGACGCGTTTCCAGGACGCTGCAAAGAGTGCCTAGGGAACTATCATGTTATCGAGAAGGACCTTCGCAGGAGACCCCAAGGAGCTGCGAGGGACATTGGGAGGTGCATTGCACGCGGCGCAATTCCTGTTTTGCAGCGCGACGCAGTACAGGGCAACGCCAAACAATGCAACGCAGTGCGCAGCAATGCCAAGCAAAGCAAAGAAAAACAATGCTAAGCAATGCAAATCAAAACAAAACAATGCAACATGTCACCCCTGCGGTCACCCCCGACCATCGCCGTCGGGGTGACTGCAGGCTTGCTCAAAAACAGTGCGAGCAATATTTCCCCTCCGCTCACAAACGCGAGCGCCGCCGGTCACTGAGGCAGCGCGCGCCGGACCCCCTCGATTCGTGCCCGAACAAAGGCAGGGCCTACAACCGCGCGGTAACAATGAAGGTGTAAAGGGCTGTGGCACACATGCAGAGACGGGGCGCGCATGCCAAAACGAGGATGCAACTCAGTGGGGCGTTCCAGGGGGTGTCGGGTGCCGGCGCGGCTGCGCTGGAAGCTTGCGATTGCTCATTCTGGTCCCCGAACCTTCGGCACGCAGTGCTTGCCGGAGCATGTGGTGCCCTCCGGGGGAATCCACACCACGGGCGCGCAATTGTTGTTGCGTTCGATTGTTTTCCAAAACCGCCCCCGGGGGCCAAACGCATCAGTTTTTCAAGCTGCGTCCAAACGCGGCGATGAGGAAGGCCCGATCGTCAAGGCTCACCACCTCGACGAAGACTTCCTGCACGGGTACCCCTACAATTATCAGCATATGCCGCCCCGCAAGGCCCCCGTTTCCGAAACGTGAAACGGGCCTTGAGGGGAAGTAGTGGAACCTGGAGATTTCCCCGCTGATCCCAGGACCGTATCTTCTTCCTGAACCGCTCTTTCCAGAGGTCCCACGACCCACCGAAACGCCCCAGGAACCCGATGACGCCAAATAATTCTCGCATCCTGCACGCACCAGACGCCCATTTGGGCTTGCATGCATCATCGTTCTCCTCCTCCACCCAGGCAAACGTCCATTCATCCCTCTTTCTTTTTTGTTGAGACGCCAAGGCAACGTTGGAACAAAACAAAATAACGCACCGAACAAGCTTGGGGCAATGCGGGAGCTGACCTGGGATGGGCGAGCCCGCGTTTGCGACCGTGGCCCGGGGGAAATTGGCAACGACGCGGAGTGAGCGCCGCGGTGGCCCGAGCGGCCAACAGTATCAGCCGCGCGCGCAGACGACGCCGAATAATAGTAACATTATAGACGCGCGACGCCTAGACCAAGGAAGGCGAACGTCGCCACGAAATTCTTGCCTGCGTTCACCAAACAGCTCCAGGCGCGACGGGAGGGGGGGCAGAGGACTGCAGGGACGAGGGTGGAAGGAACGCGGCCAAACAACAAAACGCGGCGAGGAAACGGGGCCTCGCGCCCGGGGGGGAACGAAAAGCGCGGGGGATGAATCTACAGGAGGGCGGGGAAACGGAGGGGCACGAGGAAGATGAAAGGCAGGGAAGGAACGCTGTAAAACATACGGATCGAAAAGACAAGGGGCGAAACAACGTGTTACAACTCGAGCGATGCTGCGGCCCTCGTCCAAGCCCGCCCTCGCACCCATAATATGCGAATTGGCTTCAGCGGACCTCGGGCGGGTCGCTCCCGGAAGTCCCTTTCGCCGAGGCACTCCGCCCAGAACGATGCTGGACCCTAGGCCGAGCCCCACCACTCGCGCGAGAAGCTCGCCGCGATCCGCTCCTGCCGCACAATCCGCACAACATCGGAGTATGGCATCTCCAAAGAGTTCCAGCGCGATAGCGCAATGCTGGGGGCGCCCGACGTCGATGCGAAACTTCTGGAGGAACCATCGCATTGATATTGCGAGGCTGGCTTAACATGTGGGTTCGGGACGTCGAACCAGCTGCTTCCGCAAGACTTTCAAGAGATCGCAAAACAAGGGAAACACATAACATTGCGATATGACTCGCTGCTACTGATCAGAAACGACAGATTGTCCCTGGGTGCGTGTTTGAAGTGGGGATCCGTGGTGAGGATTCTGCTTGTTGCGTTATTGCGTTGGTGCATTGCTGTTTTTTGTTGTCGTCGTCCCGCTCGCGACCCACCCCGCGACCAACCCCGAGACCCACCCTGCGATCCACCCCGCGACGCACCCTGCGACCCACCCGCGACCCAACCGCGACCCACCCGCGACCAAACCAGCGACCTACCCGCGACCCTCCCGCGACCCACCCGCGACCCACCCCGCGACCCACCCCGCGACCCACCCGCGACCCACCCGCGACCCACCCGCAACCCACCCGCGACCCACTTGCGACCCACCCCGCGACCCACCCGCGACCCACCCGCGACCCAAACAGCGACCCACCCGCGACCAATTTGCGACCCATTTGGACCCATTTGCGACCCACCCGCGACCTACCCAAATTGGTTGAACGAAAAAATTTGCGTCTGCGGCGGGCTCGTTGCATAATTTGTTGGCGCCTGCGGCGGGCTTCTCCAGAGTCTCGCAGACTGCCGACGTCCCCACCGCCCCCTGACTCTTATCAGCATCTGCGGGGTGCTACGTATTTGCGTCTGCTGCATGTCTTGAAAGGGGCCCTAAAGGGTCCCTTTAGGGCTTCGCTCTTTGGGCCACCTCCCCTTACGTAGCACCCGCCAGACCCGTGCGCCCAGCAAACAAGCCAGAAAAGCCCTCCGGCTCCGACGCGCTGCAGGCCGCCGCCGCCGCCACTGGCCCGCTCAGTCTCTTCCTCCTCCTCCTCCTCCTCGACCTCCTTGTCCTCCTCCTCCTCCTCCTCCTCCTCCCTCCTCCCCCTCCTCCTCCTCCTCCTTCTCCTCCTCCTCCTCCTTCTCCTCCTCCTCCTCCTCCTCCTCCCCCTCCTCGTCAAAAAACGTCAGCTAACACGAGTCCCGGGGCACCCGAGCCTCACGTCTCTCCGATCCGCGGGCCGCCGGCGCAGGAGCCCCCAGGCCCCCCCCGGGCGCCGCGCGCGCGCCGCGGCCACCGGAGGCGGGGAGGCGAGGCGGAGTACTGCTCCTACTCCCACTCCTACTCCTCCTCCCACTGCTCCTCCTCCTACTCTTACTCCTACTCATGCTCCTACTGCTGGTCCTCCCTCTCCCCCTCCTCCCCCTCCTCCTCCTCCTCCTCCTCCTCCTCCTCCTCCACCTCCTCCTCGAGGAGGGAGGAGGACGCTCCTGCTAACTCGCCCTCGCCCCGCTCAATTCCTCTTGACTCGTCTGCCATCCCGTTGCAACCGTGGGGGGGGGGAGACAGCTTTCTGTGCCACCCCATTCTGCTCGCGAACCCTTGTTGGGGGGCCTCACGCGCTGGCAGATGCAGCAAGTTTGTTGCCTGCGCGGGAGCCTGGCTGCTGAAATCAGCGGGCACGGTACACAAAATAGGAGGGTGAGAGAGAGCCAAGGATGGAGGGGAAGGGGGGGGGGTCACTCACCAGTCTCTCACTTCATGCCCAGTTTCCTGACGACCAGACAACGACGCTCAGCATACGGCATACGGTAGTCATCCCCGAAAAGCGATGTCTGGGGGCTTAGTTAAACAAAGCCACGAGCAGGAGAACGAGGAGAACGAGGATCATTCGGAGCGGGAGAGCGTCACATGCTGCATCCAGCTCTCTCCCAGGCTGGCCAAGTTGCACCAGCGTCCTGGCCGGCAACCCTGCCAGAGAAAGACCGAACACCTCCCGAAGCAAACGTGCCCACCTCGACGCTGGGACTGCAGCCACGTTGCAAACAAATCGACACACCAACAAAAATCACGACCAGAGCCCAGGACCCCATCTTCCTGCTCCATCTTGAAATGCCTCCCAGATGGGGTCCGAATAGATGGGGTCGCTGGATCGCGCCGCATCGCCAGTGCGTCAGCGATGCATCGGCGACGTCGGCGATGCATCGGCGCAGCCAGCGTGGAGAAAATCGGGTTCCACATCGCGCCGCATCGCCGATGCATCGGCGATGCGACGCGATCCTCCGACCCCGCCTGCTCAGGCCCATCTGGGAGGCCTAGAATGTTCGGGTATCTCCAAATCCCGGGTCAATGAGACTCGGGCCAACAAGAAACCAAAAAGCTGCAATGCAGGAAAAACAACTGCAACGCAGGGCTTCGCAAACCCGGGTCAGCCAATTTGCGCGGCCGCCTCGCGGCCACGAGCGGCCCACTCACCCAGGTCGGCCAGAGAGGGCCTTCGCAGGATCCTGCAGGAATTGGTGCCCTGGCTGACCCCCGCTTGCATTGACCCCCGTCTCTTAAACTCCGAAATGCTTCGACCCAGATCGATCCGCATGGGCTTCGGGGCCCGAAGCGAGGCAAAGGCGCCCAGTGTGAGACAACTGCAGCGCCTGGAAAAATGTAGGGCACTCCGACACCCAGGCTGCAGCGGCTGCGCTCCGCCGCGGCGGCTCCGGCACGGCACCACCGGTTTGCATGGGTGGCCTTTCGCGGCGTGGATCGTGGTGATGCAGACGCCCTGGCCTTGCCCTCGGACTGCATGCCGCCTGCGCGTGCGCGACACGTCACTGTCCTCCTCAACATGGCTCTTCTTCTCTGTTCACAGCTCCCTCGTGAACCCCTTGCCCTCCAGTCCCCCACACATCATTCACCTTTTTGTTGGTGAGTACCCCTCTCTATATTTAGTGTGCGATCTTTATGAATACAGATATATTGTTATATGTGTCTCCACTCTCTCTCTCTCTCTCTCTGCATGTATTGCTCTGTGCTTTTTGTTGTCTACATATATAGATATACATTTCTCTCTCGAATTTACAAAGACGCATCTACATGTAGATCCCTCTCTCTCTCTCGTTTCCTCCTCCCCGCTCTTCCCCTTGCCCATTTCAATGTACTGCGTATTCCTCCACTTGTCCTTGCTCATCCGCTCTCCCACACCCTACACTACCTCTGTCCAATACACATGCCGCATGCCCCGTCCCCCTCATTCTCCTCCTGGCTGGAAATTAAAAAGAATTCTGATCCGAGGGGCCTCCTCCTGGACGCGGAACTCGGAGCTGCCGTGTCCTTTGGGTCCAGGGAAACCTTGGCGACGAAGTCCTGCAACGCCATCCCCAGAAGGGGTCGACCGAATGTCTAGGGGAAGCCCATGGAGAGGTGAGCTTAACGGTATTTGGGGGAGGGAACGCGCGATTTTTGCATATCAAAACAAATCTCAATATACATATACATATACAATAGAACCATCGCGCGCGCTTCGCGCGCGCTCAAGTTCTAGCTAGGGTCATGATCATCGTCACCAGTGTCATCCTCATCCGCGTCATCTTCATCGTCATGGTCATGGTAACCTTCACCATCACAACAATCATCATTACCACCAGTATCATCAGCATCGTGAACACAATCGCCATCATCGTCATCGTACTTTTCAGCATCATCATCATCCGCATCATCAAGATCTTGTTGGTCGTCGTCGGCGTCGTCTTCGGCATAATGATCGTCATCATCATCAGCGTCATCACCGTCATCATCCCCGGTACACTGCAGTCCCCTTACCCTCCTCCTCTTTCCATTCTCCCTCTCCCCATCGTGTTACGTATACTCATCCTTTCCCTCGTAAGCGTCTCCCTGAAAGGGATTCTTGTACCTTCACCTGCTGCTCCTCCTACTCCTCCTCCTCCTCCTCCTCCTCCTCCTCCTCCTCCTCCTCCTCCTCCTCCTCCTCCTCCTCCTCCTCCTCCTCCTTCCTCCTCCTCCTCCTCCTCCTCCTCCTCCTCCTCCTCCTCCTCCTCCTCCTGCTCCTCCTCCTCCTGCTCCTCCTCCTCCTGCTCCTCCTCCTCCTCTCTTTTCTCAGCGCACTCAACACACGGGTGCCTACTGGAACGCGTGCTGGGAACCATTTGGGAAGCATTGTGGCAGTCTCTTGAGTCCTTCCGGGCCTTTTTTGGCCCGTCTGAGGGCCCAGTTCGGCCTGTCCGGGTCCCTCGGGGCTCGTCGTGGGGAGCTCAGCCCGTCTTGGGGCCCTCCTGGGGCCCTCTCCGACAATGTAGGAATCCTCTGGTGGCCCTTTCGGGCTTTCTGGGGGTTTTCTTGGGCTGTCTTGTAGCTCTTCTGTGCCGCTTGACACTCTCTTCAGCTCATCTTGGAACCCTCTTTGGGGCCTCTGGGGCCGTCTGAAAAGCGAAGCTCCAGAAATATACGCTTTTCCATTGGAAATGCTTGATTTTTGCCTTTGGAGGGCCTTCTCAGCGGCCTCTTGGACAGTCGTGGGGGGGTCCTTTTGGGCCCCATTCCGGCTTTCCCAAACCCCTCTTGGCATGTCATGGGTAGCTGACGACCATGTAGGGATCCTCCGGTGGCTCCCTCGGGCCCCCTGGGGACTCTCTCGGGCTGTTTTGGAGCTCTTTTGTGCTTCTCAACGCTTTCTTGAGGCTGTCTTGGGGCCCTCTTGCGGGCCTCGTGGACCGTGTGGCCCCGACTTGGGGAGGCTGCTCTGGGGCCGACGTGGCCGCCGATGGAACATAAGAAGCGAATGTCCTAGACATGTACTTCTTCTAATGGTAAGTGCTAGTTGCTTGCACCCGGGAGCCTTTTCAGCGGCCTCTTGGACCGTCTTCACGGAGCCCTGGGAGGCCTGTTGTGGACCCTCTGGGGGCCCAGTTCGGCCGTTCCGGGTCCCTCTTCGCCCGTCATGGGGACCTGAGCCCGTCTTGGGGCCCTCTGGGGGCCCTCTCCGACCATGTAGGGATCCTCCAGTGGCCCCCTCGGGGTTCCTGGGTACTCTCTTGTGTGTTGGAGCTCTCTTGTGCTGCTTGAAGCTCTGTTCAGGCCGTCTGGGGGCCCACTTTGGGGCCTCTTGGGTCGTCTGGGGCTCATTTTGGGAGCCTCTGGGGCCGTCGCGGCCGCTAGTAAGACTGAAAAACAAATACCAAAATAATATACGTTTTCCCATCGGAAATGCTTGATGTTTGCCCTTGGAGGACCTTCTCGGCGGCCTCTTGGACCGTCTTGAATGCATTTGTGGCCGTCTAGGAGCAGTCTTGGGCTGTCTTCGAGCGCTCGTGGCCCGTCCGGAAGCCATCTCAATTCGCTCTTCAGCCATCTTCCAGACAACCTGAAGCGCTTTGGGCGCCACTTGGGCCTGCTTGGGAGCCTCTGGGGGGTGTCCAGGGCCCCTTCTGAACCCTCTTCGAGCCCTCAAGGCCACCCCCCAGCCCCCCATGCGAACCAGAGGTAGCAGTTCTGGGCCCTCCCCTGGCCTACTCCGATACGTGTATATATATATATATATACATATATATATAGATATAGATATATGCACACACATATATAGAGAGAGGGAGAGAGAGAGAGAGAGAGAACAAACAAAAACAAAGAGAAAGAGAGAAAGAGAGAGAGAGAGAGGCCGAAGAACTACGGGACCCTGCGCAAGGCCGTATTTTTCAATATGTGCTGATACCGTCTTGCCGTTCCGATCCAACTATCGCTGTGCCTCGACTCGGCGCAATACCGTGTAATTGCGTATCCAACGCTATGATTGCAGCCATTCTGGCAAGGCGTGTGGAATACACGTCATGAGTGACCTGATCTTGCGCTGCGCGGGTGGTATGCCATGTAAGGTGCAATTTACGGGGCAAAAAATAGCATGATGCTATATACATATACATACCTATATATATATATATGCAATTTCCGGGGTTAATCAACAATACCGTATTTATGGATATGGCTTTCTACCTGTTGCCCCACTACATCTTGGCCCGCCGCGCGGGCTCATTGGAGATCATACAAGAACCCCTCACTACAAGCACTTCATCTGGAAAGAGGAACCTGGAAAATACTGCTACCGACATTGTTGCCAACCGAAGAGCGCTGGTTCACCGTATCATGCACACTGCCTTCTGCTCCTGCTCCTGCTCCTGCTGCTCCTCCTGCTGCTCCTTCCTCCCCTCTTCCCCCTCCGCGACCTCCACCTCCACCTCCATGGGCAAAGCCGATCAGCCAAGCAGAAGGAACGCGCGTGCGAGATCGACAACCTCGGAGCCTCCAGAAGCCTGCGAGGCCATCACTTGGGCTTCAAAAACTCTTCCCACCTTCCGAGCTCCCCCCTTCCGGACTTTCAGAGCAGCCGCGCCACCTCTTGGTGGTGCGGATCGATCGATCGATTGGTCGGCTAGCAGGTCGCTTGGCTATGCGCAGGGAGTGAAACCCAGACAAAGAACGACATTTGCTGCGCGGTGTTTTGGGGGCGGGGAGCGCCAGTGGGCCCGCACCACCCAATGCCACTCCGACGAATGGTCACTCTTGCGCGTAGCCGACATCCGGCACCGCAGACCGCTTCGGCGGTGGGGTCCCCACGATGCCCCTGTGCTGGCGCGCAGACTCCAGACGGCTAACGCAGCCGGGGCGCGCTCGAGCCCATTCGGGGCGCTTCAGCACACCCTCGCCATGCCCACTCTACTTGCGACATGCCCCGCAGAGACCATGGGAAGAAGATAAAGAACAGTAGAGTCCATAAGAAACATAATAATAAGAATAATAATTATAACAGCAATACTAATACCATTATTGCAGAACAAACACAACAAACATACATGAGACACATAACAAACATACGAATAATACTCTTAAGGAAAACAAGCGAATCACAGACAAGGAAGCAGGCAGGCCGTCCTGGATCTGAAGTCGACCGCCGCGCCCACATGACGCGGCGAGCTGGTCCAGCAGCATGGATGGCACCTGCATCTCACCACGGCCGATAGGTATGCGGACAGCATACCGGTATCCACACGACCCAGTGGGTACAGAAGGTTTTTTGTAGCGGATGCACCGCGCGGGAAACATCCATGCGACCGCGTGCACACGCGCCGCGCCGCGAACATCCGGAGCTGCAGTATTTTCGATGCCCCCCGGAGGTCTGGACAACATCCCTGGGGGCTGGTGTGTCATCCTGCCTGTGTTTGACGGCCCCGGGGTCCCGGGGTCCGTTGGGGGCAGAGGAGGAGGAGGAGGAGGAGGAGGAGGAGGAGGAGGAGGAGGAGGAGGAGGAGGAGGAGGAGGAGGAGGAGGAGGAGGAGGAGGAGGAGGAGGAGGAGGAGGAGGAGGAGGAGGAGGAGGAGGAGGAGGAGGAGGAGGAGGAGGGGGAGGAGGAGGAGGAGGAGCAGGAGGAGGCGGAGGAGGAGGAGGAGGAGGAGAGGCCGAGCAAAATCACGAATAAAAAAACGGCCGCTCAAGACTGTTTTTCGGAGCCTGGGATCTTTGGGGCCCCAAGGTCCAGACCGTGAGGGTGTGGATACGGATGCGCTGACCTCGCGCCACCGTCGCCCGCTGGTCGCGCTCCTCACCCCGAGGGGGACAGAGGTGGTCCGACGATTCGACCGCTCGGCCAGCGCTCTTTTTTGGGAACGAGGGAGGAGGGAGAGGAGAAGAAGGAGGCGCAGGATAAGGAGGAGGAGGAGGTGGAGGAGGAGGGAGGGGGGAGGGACCAACGTCGCCACGAGCCACGACGGGACAACTTCACTCTCCAGCCGCAGGCGTGCGCCTGCGCACTCAAGCGACCGCCGTGGCGGAAGGCGGGCGGCACCGAGGGCGGAGCCGCGCGCGCATCGCGCGTATTGACACGAGCACGGGAAGCGGGAGGAGGACAGCTACGCTGGCCCGCGCCACTAACGAGTCTGGGCGGGAGCGCCAGAACGCGTCGCGCTGCG